TCGACTGATACTGATTGATTTGGAATGGAATCCGGACAAAGATAAACACGCCAAAGCACAGAGAGGACATCTGCTACATGCAAGTATCTCTATCCATTTACATGGAATAGAGGAATGCATGCGTAAGAATAACTCCTGCTACCGTTATAGTCTTACTTTATAGACCATTTTACGATAATATACGGGCTGGGGATCTTCTCGAGAAGGCCTAGGAAGTTGTCCTCATAGCAAGCAAGTGCATGTTATTGATACTTCTTCAGCTTCAGGGACGATTCAATGACCGCTCAGATCATGTTAGATTTATGTTGACTCACATATTCAGTGAAGGTTCTTTGGACGTCATCGATCATTGATTTGATGCAAATTCTGCTGTATCTTCTAAACTTTATTCAAAGCGACCACCTTCTTGGTACCCACGATCTTAGGTGTTTCCCAATTATACGCAATGATGTCTAGGAGATTTTGCTCGACTATTCAGTGAGTGAATGCACTCTCCTCAATTATCACTTCCTTGTTATCTCGACTTTGAGATCAAGTTTGAACTCATGCGCGGTACAGCGTGCTACATCACTAGCACCGTGTTTATTCCATCAAACGTTCGCACCTCTCTTCTTTCCTGCCATGACTGGCAAGGCCTATGCAATAGTCTATTCTTCGACGTCATCTTCCCAGCTTTCTATACCAAGTATAACATTCCGACGTCACCTTCACTGGAACCGTCTTACAAGTAATGAATAACCTCAAAGTATAGGTAATCCACCAAATCCCACATATACCGCTTCACCAACCAGTTTTAAATGCCAAGAATTTCATTGCCACAAATCTTCACCACAAAGCCAATTTTGAAGTTCCTTATTGTTTAAAAGTGTGCTTGATTCAAGGTATCAGGAAATCTGGTGTATTCTGCGGGATGGCAGGTGTCAACACTCTTTCTAATACATCAAGTCCTGCTCCAATGTATCCCTAAGAATTTAACATATGAGTCAATGCGTGCTATACAAGTAGGATTAAGCTGATCTAAAGCTCTCTAGTACGCATATGCATATATAATGCGTAGGTATGCACTTGGTCCTCTACTAGAATACGTTCAATCGTTTTCTTCGATAGAGAGCAGCGTCAAGTTCATCTACATTATTGAGAACCTCCATCAAATGAGCCAAAAAAAGAAGGAAAAGAAAGAAGGAAGAGGAGGAAGAAAAAATGAAAATGAAAATAAAAAGAAAGAAGAAAGAAACAAAGAAGAGAAGATGAAGAGAAGAAATGCTAACTACCCAAAGTGCAGCATGGAATCCACACAACTTATATATCCTCTTATCATTCCTCGACTAGATAAGCACACAGCAAAAGAAGTACCAATACAAACAAACATCAAGATGAAACGTGCAGTATATTGAAGTTCGGACGAGACTTCCCGCAAATCTGAATGAAATTTCATTTCATGTCCACCTTCAGAATCCAGATACAAGGTTCGCAAGGACCGAGGAAACTTTAAATGCAACGTTAATCGGAACCTTAAAAAACGGGTTGAAAAGGGGCTCGGAGTAACCTGGAATGGAACGAGCTTTATTTAATTGAAACTTTAAATACGAGTTGATATCTGAATGAGATTTGTACAGTGAGGAAAAGGAATTTTCGGACGAAATGATGAGAAAAAGTTTGATAGGCTATGAAGTGTAGAAACGAATGCGTCGTTCTTCAGATACCTTGATTGAAGGATGGGTGTGTGTATATGTGTAAATCTGGCCGAGAGTTGTGAAGTTTCAAGTGCGATATGCGACGAGAGAAGCGATACAAAAGAATGGTGAGATGAAAGGGGTCTTCGTAGAAAATGTACACTTGTATGATAAGATAACAAAGCATCGTGCAGCACACCGACTTCACACATCAAGACCAATTTATCTTAACAAAATTATAGCATTAACATAACATCATTTAAGTTATACAACGTCTCTCCAAATAAACTAGGTGCGGTCAAAATCCATCCACCTAGTTAAACCCTAAAAAATTTGTAGTACAAGTAACGTCCAACGCGGTCTCATTAACATTAAGACAATAAGCCTCATCTACACCTTTAGGACTCAAGACGTTGATGTCACTCGCGACGATATTGTTGCAAACTGACTCGCTCGAACAAGCAAATGTACCAATCTGTGGTTGGTATTTGGTGCTGGTTTTTCCGGTGAAGTTTCTGAAAATAATATCGGTGATGGTGAGAGGGGAGGGGAATTCGAGACAGAGGGTTAGGTTCTTTTGACCGTAGCATTGGTCGACCTCGATGGCGTAATCAACATTATCGATGTACATTGTGTCGTAAGTGATGTTGTTTACTCTGCCAGATCCTCCGCCTCCTGTAGGTGTGTTAGTTGTGTAATCGGTAGATGAGCGTAGGGGAATTTTCTTACCTTGGAGATCACCACTGAGAGCTGATGCGGTGTTTGGCCAAACCTTGATACGTGCACCGTCGGTGGCGTTGTGCAATGAGGTGTTGTAGACGTATACGTTTTCGACGATATCAAATTCTCCAGGATATTGACCGAGGGATCCAACGGAGATTCCGTGAGAACCATTGCATAAAAGGTTTTGAACTAAGATGTTTGTGCTGTTGGGCTTAAAAGATACACAATCTAGAATTTGATTAGCAAGGTTTCAAAGTCCGGAAGTAAGGGTATTTACCATCTCCATTGTTGATGACAGAGTTCTGGATAACAATGTTATCACTTCTGTATGTGTCCCATCCATCAGTGTTCTTTGCAGGGTTTTTGCTCGAGCTTCCTCCGGCAATGTTGATATTGTTGTACACAACATTGCTTGAATTTGCAATGAAGTTGTAGTACTCTGGTGAATAACGTAGAACCAAATCGCTCAAGATAGAGTCCTTGAGTCCATCAATTCCGACAAGGACTGGTCTGAGTGTGTAGATGTCTTTGGCGTAAAGATCGTACCAGACTTGGCCATTTCCATTAAGGGTACCACCACCATACATAAAGACATCCTCTCCTCCAAGCTTGAAGAATGAGGTCACGTTTTGGAAGACGAATGGGAAGGCATTGGCTTGCCAATAATCTGTATCGTCCGAGAAGAGGATTTCACCCTGAATGTCTGCAATATTCATTAGTAAAAGAAATATGCATTGATTGGCGTAGTATTGGAAATTGCATACCGAGATCAATGTGCTTAAGGAAAGTCCAGTCCATTGCTGTGCCAACCAAGTACGTCACACCTTTACTGAAAATTACATGACCACCGTTGTTACACTCGTTAAGTGCGCTCATGATGGCTGGAGAGTCATCTGTTCCATTGCCGGAACTCTTGACATAGCATGTCTTAGTTCTGGCTGGCGGAGAAGGTGCAGGTGTGTTTGGAGTCTTGGGAGAGTATTGCACGTTTGGCCTTGATGATAATGATGCGTGCTTTGGGTGACCTCTACGAGCGAGCGCTTGATCCAATGAAGCGTCTTGCAATGTAGGGTTTGCAACTGCAACTGCAACTGCAGCGGAAGCAATTGAAAGAACGGAGCTCAATTGAAAATGCATCTTGAAGTACGAAACCGATATTTCAGTTGCCCAAGTGATTGAAGAAGTAGCTTGGCAGTTTCCATAGCTCTGCTCGGGGTCTGGTAGGACTTATATACTGCCCTGTCTCCAAATTAAATTGAGCATGAAAAGCCTCCATATTACTTTCAGGGGAATTAAGGAGATTCTATTTCTCCGGACTTGTTCCCTTGGCTTGGGTTCGGTGACGAAGACGGTGAGCTCATGATTGGAGCATACGCCTGTCATTTCATCCCATCTTCAAGAAAATATGGAGATAATCTCGTCCCCAGATTATCAAGGGAAAACATGGGGGAATGAAACCCCGCATCAATTTGTAGCCCCATATAAGTTTTAATAAAATGTATTGGTTCATTTTGTTTTTTCAGGTACAAGAAAGCTTCATCCTTGTTTTGAGCTCTCTTTGCACTTGATTATTGGTGGAACTCGATAACTTCTTCCGACCGGTGAGCTGTACCCTTGCGGAAGATCTATCAGTCAATGCTACCGGCCATGGTCAGTCTCAGAAAGTGTCACTTGTGTTTATTAGGGTTCTGGATATTGCTCGGAACCTCGGACGAGATAATATACTGAAAGCGACGGGTGGAGATTAAAATCCACAAAGGGACCGAAGCACTGGAGCACTGATCATGCGAACTATCACGTGACTATTTGGACATGGTGTATTCCATCTCTGCCTTTTCTCATCATAATTCTCAGTCCTCGCCCTTTAAGAGCTCGCTTTGTTACGAATCGCGACTCTACTTAGCTGGTAGCAAGCGTAGATCAATCGAGAAGATATTGCTGAGCTTACAAAAAGGAAAACAGGCAGCCAGATCTCTTGCAGGCAGAACATTAAGCTTCAGGGGTAGTCCAATGTGTCAAATCGTTCAAGTGTTTGCGTTTGACAAATCCTTATCATGCTTTCGGAGGACATACCGTTTATCTCGTTCAAATTCCGGCCCTGAATAGGGGCCTTATCTCGTATCGTTTTTGGAAACAACATCGCATGTTTTGGGTGGATACAGCGGGTACTGGGATATCTCCGGTATGGTTTGGTGCAGCGATGTTTCATTCTTCTTCAATTCACACTATCTAACGGGTAGATCTAGCGGAATCATCCGGGAAATGCAAGATGTAATGCGATGCAGGCGGCTGATATGCCGACATGCTCGTCGATCCCCTATCAATGACCCACCTTTCAGTAGTAAAAATAAGTATGAAGGGAACTGATCCGAGTCGCCTGTTGATTCGAAAACAAGCTCCTGTCATATTGCGGAAGAGAAATGCAGAGCGTCAGAGCAATTTTTCATCATATTGAGGTCTGCGCTCTTGATGGGTGCATGCACAGGAAACGAATCCTGATGACAGGATAGAGCAAACAGGTATCCTGTATATTAACGGCTCGGACCTTGATGCCTGTAATGAGCAAGAAAAGAATCCTCAGGGGCTCGGTATTCGCGGGAAGAGTCATGTTTTGTAATCTTCGAAAACCCGTTGTGGCTGCTGCCTCTGCACGCCTCTCTTCTCAACACTCAGTATGTGGACTTGGCGCGTTGTTTCTTTCGTCAAAACATTTCTGAATGACATCGAAAGGATTATTCTTCGCCGATAGTCACGATCAATCCCTCTTCCGGCTTCCCGATCGGTCTGAGTGCATGCTGGCAAGAGCGAAACCGGTATCTTGCTCGTGTGGCTTTCAATGATACCTGTCACCACCACCACCAGAAAGGTCGGCACGTTCGTTTGATCGAAAACGGAACTTGATTCAAGACGGGAGGCGTATTGCGGATATTCTGCATGTCGAATGGTGTGTATATGCTTTCGAAGTCGTACTGTAGTTGAGCTCCTAGCCATCTGATGTTGTAAAAGAGCTCGTTTTTCAATTCCGTCGAGGGACTCACATAGTAGGACGTGGTCCAGTAGCCCGGTTCCTGGAGCTGAGAATCGAGATGAAGAACTCTTGATGGAAATGCTGTGCTCGAAGGAGTCTACACGTATTAGCATAGGCTCATGGTAATGGTAAAGATGTATCTTGGTAGGTACGCAATATACTACGAAGAAGGATTTCGATGACATTTTCAACATCCTCGAAGCAAGGTGTGGTTACAATATACAGACAGGGACAAGGTCCTTTGAACGCTAACAATGCTAAGGACCGTCTATTGGACTTTGGATAGTGGAGTATGCTGCATGCTTATGAGTTTACTGGATCGAAGGATGGCGCACACTTTCATCCGGCGGGGCCACCGCATAGAATCTAACCAACAAATTTCCCAGGATATCGGTGGGGTGATGCATTTCAACCTCAATTTAATCACGGGAATTCTTGTTGAGAAGTGTGCTTTGAGGCAATCGAACCCTACATCCCCTGCCCTCGAGCGGATCAAAGATGCAGAGAGGCAATACAGATCAATCCTACTTCATACTACAGGGAAAATGATGATATCTAGGCATATAGCCGGCGCAGAATAGCATGGGAACCACTACCCGGAGTGAAGACTTCATTTCTCAAGCAAATCACACAACATTTCAAAATTCTGAAGAACACCAAGAATATGACCCATCACAATAATAAACAACTTTGGCATACCCCTACATACAAACGCTCACGATATTTGAAATTTTGCCGCTGATGCCGTTGATCAAAGAAATTACAGATCCTGGACAATTACCCTCCAGACAAGCTATAGCAAATAGACAAGGAACCGCAACATTAGATCCCAGTACATACAATGAACGAACCCCCAGCAATGCAATGTTTTGATAGCAAACGAAATGTGCATCTATTCGATGTATCAAAGCAGATCTGCCACCCTTACAATACACAACAAACACTTTGATACTCTGTCCTCCAACAAATTTTCATGGTTAGTATTGGTTGCTCGCGCACATCGGATGAACTTGCATGAACTGTGGATTTTGACTGTCCATAAAAAGCGGGTCTTGGTCATCGGGAAGCACTCCTTGGCAATCCTCAAATCTGTAGAGATCGTATGCAGGATTGTAGCTTTCCTCTTTGATAACGGGGCTGTAAGTTCCGGAGCTCTCTGGGGCAGGTGTCAGAGGTAGTCGTCGTGGAGATCTTGGAACAGAAGTCACATCTGAGGAATGGAATTGGCTACCTGGATATCTTGCCGGATCAGATCTCGAGGGCGTTGGGAGCATTCGTCTTGAACTTGAATCATCTCTGCCTCTTTGACGTTGTAACTTTCCCTTGCTAGCAGAGTGAAAAGAAGGCTTTCTGATTGCGTTATAATTGTGCCGACCTAGATAGTTTTGACTTGGATTGCTTTCTGCTTTGGCGTATTTCTTGTTGCCTGTCCCCTTGCGATATCGAGTTGTAGACTGAACTCCATCTCTGATTGCGAAATCTTCCAAAACCCACTCAGTGGATTTTTTCGTTTCCTCTCCAGGAATTTTCCGTTCTGTCTTTTTGAATGCCTGCCATTGAAGATATTAGCCCCAGAATTGCTGAGCATACTTGATCATAGAATCTTACAGCGTTCATTGATAGATTGTGACGAATGCTATTCATCCAACCTTTGGTATCCGAGCTCCCTTTAGTAGTGTTTTCTCTGAACCAACGATAGATTTCTTGTAGGACCATGGAGTGATCTGGGGCACTCATCAATGCTCGATAGATCAATTTTGCGTATGGTTGCTCATCTGCGCCATGACCATCAGCGTCGACATCCATTGCAGTAGGTTCGCGCGAACTGTGTCCATCTTCTTCAGAGCATAAGCTGGAAGGAGATGTAGAGTTGATGGCTTTGTGTGTAGTATCCATCATGATGCAATCGTCAGATCTTTCGCCATGGTCAGCCCTCGATGATACCATAGATCCAAAATTGTCGCGAGTATCAAAAGGATATACCGGTAATGTCATGCCCATATTAGCATAAGGCTGTTGCCAGGTAGTTCGAGGAACATTATCGAAAGCTTTCAAAGAATTTTGTTGTTCAAGACCAGAAAGATCAGCTGGACAATCGTAAGAGTAACCATTCTGGTCATCCGCAAAGACAGAAGTTAATGGCGCTTGATGGGACCAAGATGTTAAGTTTTGAGAGCCCGGCATTTGCGATGTAGTAAGGTTATAGTCATTATTGGGCATAGGAGATGATGTTGAACTAGCCATGAAGTACTGCTCTTGACCCATTCGAGGTAGACCATCAAATGATGGGAATATAGCATCAGCTTGCGAATGTGCTGTTGTTTCAATATTCTCCGAAGCTTGAAAGTCCCAAGGCAAATCGTGATGTTGAGAATTCTGCTGAAAGTGATCGGAATCCATATTGAGGACCATCTGAAAACAATCTACTCAACCTCGCTGCCGATGATGTGTCTATTGAACGAAGTGCTACCCTTAAGATGGATTGCTCTATTGTAAGACGATAGTGTCTGTCTTCTCGGAGAATTCAAAGAATTGGGATAGCAAAGGACTTCGGGTGTAGTTATTCAAAAGAGGAAATCTAGAACGCAAGAAGCAGTGGGAGCATTGAAAGCTTTGTGACTATGGGCATAGAGTCCTGAAAAGACAAGGCCATAATGCAGGAGAGCGAATGCCAGCACATGGATGCAAGCCTTTGACGTGTGTGCAAACAGGCTCCCCGGACAGCAACATTCCAAAAACAGTGTGAGCTCTACAATGACCTATTCATAATAGCAATCGCTTGTTGTTCTGCTGTAAATAGGTGGGCTGCAGTTCTGCACATCCAGGTAATACAGAGAGAGAGGAAAACGGGATGCTGCATAACGCTAAAGATTGTGCCAGGAGAGGCATTGTTTGAACTTAAACCTAGAAGAGTATTCTAATGTTTCACCGTCAGCCTCGAGCGGGCACAATCACAAAGAATTGTCTGGTTCAATTGTTCTTGATTCTTATTCTAGAAGGAACACAGAGATGTTTTTGTTTGAAGTAACTGGAATATGTGGAAATCAGCCACCCGTAAAACCGTTTCGACTTACTCAACCAGCAATCTTAACGATACCCACGAACGAAAGCCGAACCGGAGTTTTGTGTCAAGTTTGAAAATGCAGCTACTTTGCATTGAGAAAAAGGTCTAGTAAACCTCTAGATTCCATCCCACTACTGCTTTAAACTGTGCCAATAGTACCAAATTATTACTATTAAAGCCATTAAGAAAGGTCATCAGATACACAAAGAATGTTAATAATCTCAATTGTATTTTCCGGTGTTAATGCTTCCATGTATAGATAGTGTTGATGATCTCATTTCATTTTTCCGTGTTAACGCTGCTCTCATGCATCGAATCGTTGCCGTCATGTACGTAGTATTATTTTTGACGGAAGTACAAGGTTCCTTTGTGTGATATAACACACGTGGAAGAAATCTGGGGATGTTTATTTGTGAGCTCAATGATTGCTAAAGAAAAATCTCAACCAAATTGATACTTCCCAAACTCTGGTGCCACAATGAGGCAAGCAGGAAACTCGCGAATCGTGATTACTTTCGGTAGTATATCTGAATGACAAATTAGCTTCAATCAAAAAGTGGGAATATTGTGTTTTATTATGATTGTTACTGACCTTTTTGAATTGAAAGTGTAATTGGAGAATACCCTGGTGAACATGTCAGCAAGGAACAAGCTTCAGAGACAGAAGTAAGGTTTAGAGGTTGTCACTGCATGACGGGTAGACAAGATGCAGAACAACAGAACATTAAAGCCACACACATACCTTGTCAAAAGTACTGCGAAAGCCACGATCTTTCTTCGCAGAATAATCCCATTCTTTATCAACAATACGGAAGGCTATGTCCTCATAAGGAGGTCCCGCTATGAAGCGAAGTAGACACGTATCTTCCTCTCCAGCAGGCGCAAATGATTCTCCTCTCTTTCGACCATGTTCCCGAATGATTCGAAATGTTGGCGCCTTCGCTTTGTCAATAAGATCGGGATAAAATATGTTGAATTTGTAACCCTGGACAACTTTTGGAGGGGGATTGTCATGATCGTAATGAGTTTGATTGTATTTGTTCCACTCGTAACCCATTTGAACTCGATTGAAATAACGCGGTTTCCTTGGCCTGTATTTGTCTGCCCATTGAGGAGCCGAAGTTGTTGTAAGACTTTCCTCCGCGGTGAAGATTTCCTCATTCTCATTCACCCCTCTTGCCACCTCTCTATCGTACAATGCTTTTGTAGCTTGTGAGAAATCTTCAGTGACTACGGCGGAAAAGCGCTGTGTACCTGGAGGCGCATTGTTGACAGATGTGCTGGGTTTACTGACGGAGCCCGGAATACTCTTCTCTGTACCAAGTGGACGTAAAGGCACGTAACCTAGCTTCAAGACTTTGCGGCGCTCGGCCACGATCTTTTTGAGGAAATCAGATTCGTCAACAATCTCGCCTGATTTGTCTTCAGTCCGTAGTTTGAGTAACGGTTCTGGGTCATGCTTTTCTGAGTAGGCAAAGTGAGGCTGACGACGAGATGTTTGCACGGCGATCGAATTCGGTATTTCGGATCCCTCTTCAACCACTGGCGTTGGGCCAGACAATAGCACTTGTAACTTCTTTTGAACACTTTCTGCCTCCTCCTGTTGTTCTTTTCGTAAGGCGTCGAGTCGATTGTCCAGCACAGATTGATACACCTTCTTTAGTTTAGCTTTCGCCTTCCAAATTAATAAACTCTTCAAGAGTTGTTCCCAGTAATCTGTATCTATTGGTTCGTTCGAACGGAGCTTTGCTCTAATCTGTCCCTCCAAACTTTCCAGCTGCTCATATGTTTTGGGTCCTAGTAGTTTGTCCACATCTGCAGCAACGGAGCTTACAGCTCGTTCATTAGGACCGACTGGTTTTAATTTCTGACGGCGCTCATGACAGATAATTTGCATCGTCTTCCAATAATCTTGATTCTTTTTGTTCTTCTCCAAAGCAATGTAAGAATTAATGTCGGTCTCCAGCTCTCCTAGTTGCGCATCATTGAGCCCTTCAAACACACCCTCTGGGTCTACAACATCGAGTTGAACCTCTTCTTCGTCGGCATCAAGGAGATCTTTATCGGGATCGATCACTCGAAGAATGACCGCCAGCCAGTCAATTGGTTTTGCTCTTCCTTCTCTAACTCTAATGTCTGCCTTCTTCTTTGCTTGCTTTAGAACGAACGTATCCTCTTCTGCTACCCATTTCTTTGATTGTTCGTCTTCGAGACTTTGGTTGTTGCGATAAGGTCTGGAATTGGAGTTGCCTGCCGGTCGTTGTGGTTTTGAAACTCGATTGGCATCGTCGCGACGAGGAGATGTGATATCTCTTGCCCGAGGCGCACGACCTTCCAACATGGCTCTTCGTCCAGGATCCATGGTTCGTGAAAAAAAAAAACGGTAAGATTTGGTTACTTGGGGAGTAGGGAGTTTGTAGATTATCGAATCACTTTGAAAGGAAAGAGCTCAATTATGCTTGCTGCCTTAGGTTTTCTCTTCCAATTCAACAACAAGCTTGGACATAATTCTGAGGATGTCACATGATCAGGGACTCTGTAGGGCTTATCTGTGTGCATTAGCGTCTCCCCGCGTGCTCCACTCCACTATCACTATCACTGTCTACTTAATTATCAAGCACTTTCCTTCCTTTCCTTCTTCACTCTTCATTGCTTTTGACTCTGACCATACACATCCTAATGTATTGCATTATCATACAATGTGATAAATATAGGAAGACGAATGTTTTTCCAAGTCTTACACAGATGTCACTCGTGCATTTGAGGTCCCGCAGATTTCCAGTGCGCCAGTCGGGAAATACACATCAAGAGTAAATAAAGCATACTATTCAATCGATCAAAGACTGCTAATATATATTCCAGACATAATTCGGGAGGAAAGCCGCGCTTGCATTCGGAGTTAAGAAACCCCTCACACTAAATATTGATTCACAGAGCTCAAGTCCGTGGCGATAGTTGACGGGAGAATACTCGATTCATGCGTAGTTTCAGTTCGTTCGGAGCAGTGACTTACATTGCATCCATTGCAAATCTTCTAGTGAAGCCAGAAAAGTTTATCAAAGGAGCTTCAAAAACATCATTTGCTAAGCGACAACTTCCATTATATATTACTAAAAGCTAATCGATAACACTAAAGTTGATGCCATCCAAGATATGAGTATCAGAGATAATGACACCGAAGACAAGTCCTCATGACAAGATGTGTGAGAGGAAATGCCGTGGTAGTTTGTGGTATCAAAAAGGATCGATCCTATGAAACAAGAAGCTACAAATTAGAAGAGCATTCTAATACTGATCCAAAGTATCTGAAAATGCTTTTGTAGGAAATCTACATCATCATGTAACGAGACGGGATTAAGATGATAGATATGATTCCAATCTAAACACTACTCAAATCCAACAACACCACCCCACCATTATACAAATACAAATACAAATTTCCCAGTAAAACCCAGAACTATATCAGGATATCAAAATACAAGCAAATCTCACTATAATTTACAAACCACCCACCAGCTTTCGACATCAACATATGCTCTGACTCCTTTCCACATCCAAATCCCTCCCGCGCCCTGCACCGCACCCTCCATTCTCCCAATAAAATCCCAACTAACACACCCCTAATTCCACACCCAAATCACCTTCTCATCTTCTCACATCTCCCTCACCTCTCCTCTCCTCTCCCTCAGAAAAATAGCAGAGAAAGCAAACCTCACAAACGTTGACAAAAGCAGATAATACTCTTTACTCTAACTACCTACCTAACCATCCCCTTACGATATTCCTATGAGTAGGTAATATTTCAACATAACTGAACCTATCAGAAATCAAAAACCAGAAATCAAAAACCAGAAATCAAAAACCAGAAATCAAAAACCAGAAATCAAAAACCAGAAATCCAATCTATTTTATTATCAAAGATCTAATTCGCATGTGAGATATCTGTTATGTATTATAGGTTAAAGAATAATCTCATCTCATTCACCCATCTCATCCATCTCATCCTATATACTCAACTTTCACATCATAAAACAAACACAAACAAAAACACAAAGTACCTACCTACCTACCTCCAGCTACCTACCTACCTACCTACCCACCTAGGCCCCAGAGAACCACTAACCAATATCAAGTTTTGTATACATCTTCTTATGCGAAGTACTCATACCCTTGAAATAAGCATCATTTCGATATCTGGATATTGAATTGCATTCAGGAGACGAATTGAGAAGGATGAATTCTACTCCCTCGTGCTCCTCCTTGATTTACGCGAGTTGTGATTTACTTTGTCATGTGCAAGTATATATGTATGTATCCCAAAATATGCTTTGAGGAAATGAATCCCGTGTCCGCAATACCGTGGTTGCCATACTTGATACCTTATTCACGAGAAGATTTTCAGATGTTTTGGAAATCGTTGTCATTCTTGCGATAACGAAGTAGTATGTGTGTTTTGCAAAATTAAATTCTTTCGGTATAATACACTGCATCCACAATCCTCCCGCAAATCGTCAATCTTTCCATCATCTATCATCTATCATGTTGAATCCCCAAATTTCCCTCCATCACAAACTAGTCCTCCAACGGCGGGAATTTTCTCGCAAAATGACTGGGACATTCATAGCCACCTGGATTGTTATCCAGATACTTTTGATGATACGCCTCCGCATCCCACCACTCTCCCGCCTTCAGAATTTCTGTGACCACACCTCCCTTCCACCATTTCTCATTGACTTGCTTAGTAATTTCCCGCGCTTCTTTCTCTTGTTCTTCATTGTGGTAGAAGATTCCAGATCGATATTGAGAGCCTCTGTCTGGACCTTGTTGATTTGAAGTTGTAGGATCGTGCATGCGGTAGAAATAGGTTATCAATTGGCGGTAGGTGATTTGTGCAGGATCGTAGTGGATTTGAAGGGCTTCCGCGTCTAAATTGGGTATTAGTATTGATTACTTCAGAAAAAGACAAATACGAGAGGAAGATATAACATACGTCCAGTAGAACCGGAACACACGGCTCTGTAACTAGGGTTCTCGGTATCGCCTCCAATGTATCCAACACGCGCGTCGTACAAGCCCTTCCCGCTAAACTCTTTGCGATACATGTGTTCGACACCCCAGAAACAACCTGCGGCAATGGTGCATTTTTGCGCGGTTTCAGGGACGGATACTTGTGATGCGGCGGGGGTAACGGAGAGGGAGGAGGAGGATGTGAAGGGCCGGATGAGACGGTTGAGGAAATTGGGCATGGCTGCCATTATTGTGAGGAATATGAGGAGGAGGAAAAGTTTGAAAGAGATGGGTTGGGAAGGCAGATTGTAGAATTTGAGATTATCAAAGATCTCTAATATTGGGTTGGAGGACTTTATTCGGATTCAGTGGTATGGTTGTTTTTGTAAAGAATGTACTGTAGGTATGCGCAAAGACAATTGAGGATATAAGTATCAATATAAGCAAATCTGAAGTGGCAATTGTATCAAGTCGTCATGGTCAATGGAGGGGTTGAACAATAAGAAAAAGCTGGCCCAAGCTTCCACGAATCTGACAAATCATGACTTTGTCCAATAGGAGAGCTTGAAAAGTTCAATTGATTCCACATGCTGAGAGCTGTGCAAGCACGCAATTATTCCAAATCTTGTGGCAACCTTCCTGTTATGGTTGACCGCCATAGGATTCTGATTTCAAAGAGACTCCAGCTGTAAATATAAATCAGAATATCTGTGAGATCTGACTGAACATGGGACTTGCGATCACGAGACCAGTAACCTCAAATGAGGAATTAAAAATACCTGAAAGAGCACAAAGCTCTACAATCTCTAACAGACTAGAACTGCTAGGTAAGGATGAAAGCTCAAAGGAGCTCTTTGCATCTCTAGCCACATACGTCAAGATATTGTACCACCAAACTAAAGATGATCGATGCGCACTTTGAGGTGTGAACACCACGTTTCGCTCTCGGGAACCTACACATCGTTTCGAAGAAGGAGAAGCAGAAGGAAGTTTCTAACTCCATGCCTCAACTCAAGTCTTACAGATGCGCCACAATGCCGAATTCCAAATGCCACCTGCAAATGCCTCACTCCGATCTCGCTATGGTGGTTATACCTCTCTTGACTCCACTCAAGCAGTACGAGGGCGTGTCTTTGATGATTGCTGAGCCCATGCACCACCTTCATTTAATAACAATTCTCTATATAAATTCATATAATAATATATTATTTATTAAAATATACTCACTATTAAAATCTTATAATATAAATAATAATGCTATTTCCAAATTACTAATCAACTATAAAAGTTGTTACTCTTATTATTTTCTATAATAAGGTTATATATTTTTATAATATAAATAATAATATTATTAATAATCTCCTAAAGAATTCTAAATCATTTCTCTTTTCAAGTTATATGTATTTCTTTTATAATTAATAGATAAATATCTAGAATCCTTTTTTTTCTAATCTTTTATTTTATATACTTCTATATATACTTTATAGTATTTATATTAGGAAATTGGAGTAGTTAATTTATATATCTAATTTCCTTTTTTTTTAAGAATTCTTTAATATAGAAAGCCTTATATATTAATATATTATCTAATATCAAATAGATATCAGATTAATTTTTTTTTAAGCTCTTATAGTTATAATTTAAGTAAAGATTTTAAAAAAAAACCTTTAAAAAAGCAATACTGATTTATTTTCTTTTTATTTTAATTTTCTTTTTTATATACAATACTTTATTTATAAATCTTCTTATTAAAAGCAAAACTAAGCTTTTTAGAATTCTTTAAATTATAAGCTTTTTTTTATCTTATTTAGAATTTTTAAAAACTAAATTATAAAATTAATTATATTTCTTATTTAAATATTTTAGATTCTCAATAGCCTTTCTTTTCTTTTTTAGAGATTTAATCAAATATATAATATATAATCCAGAATATTCCTTTAAGTATATTTCCTTAAAGAATTATTTATATTTATATTGTTGATTCGAAGTAGAGGCTTATTTGATATCTTTATATTTATACTTTTCTAAGATATATTATATTCAATAAATATTTTTCTTAAAGCTTTATATTATAGTTATATTAATAAATATAATTCTTTTAAGGATTTTCTTTAATATTTCTTATAAATCTATAGCTTTTATAATCCTTTTTTTTTGATATAAAATATTCAATTATAGTTTTTTTATAAATATAGTATAGAAAAAATGATTTATATATATAATCTTTTAAAAGATTGAAATATAAATTTTTTTTTATATATTTTATTCTAATTCGAAATATATTAATTTATAAATAGTATTTTATTATTTCGAATTGCTTTAATTATAAAAACTAATAATTATTGTTTGTATAATTCTAAAAAAGATTATTATTTTTAAGTATATATATTTTCAATATTCGATATATTAGTTAATAAAGGGTATCTAGCTTTATTATATATACTATTCAATTTATTTTAATCTTGTATATATTATTATATATATCTTATAATTCTTTTTGAATATTTATAATCTTAATATATTATTTCCCTTTAAACAATAATAATTCCAGTTATATATATAGTTATCTATTTAATTTTATCAGGTATCTCTTTTTAATTAGTTTTAAATATTTGTAGATATATTTCTTTACTTTATTGATTTTTATAAAATATAATTTAATAATTTATATAGAATAATTGAATTTTAATTAAATTTAAAAGATTTAAAAGCTGAAAATATATTCTCGATACCGCGCGGTTTTGGGTTGTGCACAGGCCTGGTAATTATTAAAGACACGCCCTTGTAGCTTTCCGCTTGGTCCACTGGTGGTCATTTTTCTTCATGCCGTGAAACAATGCTACTGTAGTCAGAATGAAAATTAGAGTTCGTGGAAGAGATATCGAAGTAGATGAAACGAAGCGATAGATTGGAGTCCCGCACGCAGGTTCGCGGAAACGGGTGTTAATGTGAATGAGATAATAATCTCCATCATATCAGGGACGGTCCGAATCGAACTTCCCTTGTGAGTTCCTGCAGATCTCCCTTAATATCTTTTTATTTTCGACAAGGTGTAGGAGACCAATTAGGATACAAACTGTTCGCTTGACGAGAGCTCGGGAGTGCTTGAAACATTTCTTTTCGTGTGGAAGAGGTTTTTACCTACCTGATATGTATGTACGTGCCTGGCTGCTTGAGACATGATAGACGGGGATTTTCTGTAGATAACGTTGATTGCAAAAGGAAAAAGGAAAAAGGAAAAAGATACTCTGTGGATTTACACGACCAAAGTTCCCCTTTTCCGAAAATCGGGAGACTGCCGAATGGGGGCGAAATGAATGAGGGATGAACGTTACATACATATCGCGTCGCATGCGAACATGATCTTAAAGTAGTATCACATCAAGATGGTTCTTATGATTGATATCCGATGATATAAGGAGATGATAGAGGGAAAAGTCTATTTCTGATGTTACACCCATCAAGCACCTTTTCGGTTGAAGATACATCCGTAATAAAAATAGGTGAATTGATGCAGCATGGATTATTCAAAGGTCGTCGTCTCCTCCGAATAGGGATGGGCGAATTATATAATTTGGGGGTCGATTATATAATTTTATATTATAATGCTTTTTGAGGCATATAAATTTTATGCCAAGTTTATGCACGTGTTTTTCGGGCCAATAAGACCATCAGGATGAATGAAAGTGGGTCGTTCTTGGAAAAAGTTTTTGATAGGTTCTAATTTTCAATTTAGTGTATAATTAGACCCAAAAGTCAGGTGCTAATCATGTGATTTATACACTAACTATCTTCTTTTCAAAATAGTCTCAAAATAGCCTTTTATAGGGTTTTTATAGGGTTTTATAGGATTTTATAATTAGTCATAATATAATGCCATCTGAGCGATATTACATATTATATTTGACTGAGCGATATACGATATTATATATCATCAAATCGCCCAACCCTACCTCCGAAGCAGCTATTAGCGATGATAAGTATCATGTAATCTTACCTAACTAGTATCACACCTCTCTGATCTATTTTGCCTGATATATGCATCGAAAGTTCCTTGGAAAAATGAATGTATTTGGTCTCATCTGGTAGGATTCTAAGGATTCCCAGTAGCATGCCTCGGCAGGAGTAATAGTACATATGTAAGGCTGAAGAACCACTGACTTTAAGCTTCTAGAAGATGAGATGGAAGAAGTCAATCTGATTTTCTTACTTTGAGGAATGCATGGTAAGCGATTCGGGCTTACAACTTACACAAGCCATGGATACCTAGGTTGGCTTACGTAGAGACCCCTGAATGCATTTCTTGGATATTCTCACCGCGAGATGGATTTTAAAGCTATAAGGTCATAAGATGATGAGATTGTGGATGATGAGAAAACAACAGAGCTGAAGATTGGCTGACGGATGGTGAGAAGAAAGAAAAGGGAAAGGGTATCTACGTATGTCTGAGTGGGCAAATGATTCATGAAGGAAGAGTTTTTATACGAAGAGGCGAAGAAGCGAAGAGGCGAAGATTGTATGTGTGTATGGTATGACCTACGATGCTCCCTTGGTAGATACTAAACTCATAACTATTTGAGTACTAGGTATCTAGTTGAGTAGATCTGGTTACAACAGGAGAATACAAATACATAGTGCCTGGGGAGCTAGGGAGCTAGGTAGAATGGAGACTTCGATATGGATATTTCAACATTCTGATTTCCCCTTCATTCTACCGTGTTAACGATTCGTCTAGGATTGAAAGATAGATAGATACCTACCCATCTATCCATCTATCGACTACCACCAGGTCTATCTACCTAGTATCTACGATACCTACCCACGTAAACACTAGCTTCAATTAAGATTAGAAAATTCTCCGAGCAGAAAATATGTTCATCTTGATCTCTTTGCAGGGAATCCGTTGCTTCTGTTTAGCTAGCACGATAGATGCCACATGATACATGATACATCGACGTCGACATTAACATCGTAGCAAAGGAATCTTTCATCACTTTATGATGGACGATGTACTGTAATCATTCACTTCCTCTCTCTCTCTCTCTCTCTCTCTCTCTCTCTCTCTCTACATACCCCCTACCTAGTAAACCCCCCGGAAAGGCCTAATAAGAGTGGTTGGAGAAGAAAAAAAGAAGCGAATTGAAATCGTCATAGCGTGGAGCAGCCCACCAAAAGGCAAAAGAGAGCAATCAAGAAAAAAACCTACCAGTACCAGTATCATTATCATTATTCATTCCCATTCACGCCA